CGTCACCTACCGTCACACCGTCAACTTCACCTGCAAAAAAAACCCAAAAAACGAAGACACCCCAGTGCTTTTGTAACAGTTGGCTTGGTGCTCTAGGTCGTTACTAGAGGAGCCAACAAAACCTGGAACCTTCATCCAAATCGACTGTGCAGTGGGAAGACTGGTCTTACAGGAACATGTTGGGCCAGTGGCCAGAACAGCAGAACTCAATAATGTCACTCTTCTTATCAACTACCAGACATCCTTATGCCCTCGCCTCCTTTCATATCTCAGCACACTTCACTGTGCATCACCCTAACCCAGTGACAATCACACACTGACTGTACTCTCCGTAGTATGAATGGGTCTTTATGCTACACAGTTTGCCTGGAACAAGTTGTTTTCAAGATTATGTGTGTCCAGGTGATGGGCTGGCTGCCTAGCAACTGCTTCTGAGTCGCAGTGGAACAAGTAACCTTGAAAGAAGGCCACTAGTGATGAAGAAAAGAAACCTTTTATTTTATTTTTCTTCCAGTATCTCCTGTTTTGTTGACTGGTGAAAGAGAGGCAGTCAGTGATTGCAAAACTGTGTGTGTGTCTGAGAGAGAGAAACAAGCAAAAAAGAGAAACATCAGACATGAAGAGATGCTCTTTGCTCTGTAAAGCAGGGTTCTTTCTGTGATGCGTTCTTTCTTTTTGCCATAACCGATCTTTCTTACTTTTGTTGTAACTATTTATAAATGCGAATGAGAGTGCGCGTATAATAATGTGCATTTGTGAAATAGGCCTCAGTTGGTTTGTTTTTTCAAAAGTATGCCATGGTTGTTTTCTTTTTGTCTTTATAGTCATGTGTCAACACTAAAGCACACAATGGCTTTGTCCTAAACACCTTCACGTGGCCACTCTTCCTTATCTGCTGACATTGGCTTACTTACGAGTTTTCCAGTTAAGATTGTGGCTCTTATGAGAAGGTTCCTCTCTTTTCGATATAATCTGACTCATTGCATTCGGAGTTCTGGAGTGAACAAGTCCTCTTTATTAGGGTGTTATATAGTAACGGTTCTGTATCAGGAAGCAGGATTACTGAAGTTAGTTTGATAACTGCATCTATAACTGGGTAAAACCAGACTACTCCCAAATCAGGAACTTGCACTGATCAGTATTTTTATATTAACAACGTAAAATGACAATGTGTAATGTGAATGGGGTTCTCCTCAGTTGCATTTGTTTTAGTATCTTTAAGCTCGTTGTTTTGATTTTCTGGCCTGCAGTTTTACTGTTCATTCAGAGCTAAAAGGAGAGTGGATACATTCATCGGGTGGCCAGAAACACAACTCTAAATTGATAATAATGATGCTCTGTCTCTATGTAAATTTGCCAACAAGTTCACATATCACATCATATCACATATCAACCCTATAAAATAATAACGTCAATTAATGCTGGTTTAAGTAAAAAGATGTGTTCCAGGCTATGTGTAGATCAGTTATCTGGCTAACTAACAATACTGCTTCTGGATGAAGACCTAAGACTATTTTTTGAACTGTTGACGTGTTATATAAAAGCACATGTCAGTTTAATGAAACATGCAACCATTTCCTGGCATTAGGAGAGAAGGCAGAACAGAAAAAGACGGCCGTTTTGAATATGGTATAGATATAGTTTTTCCCTCTCAGAACACCTCTTGATTTGTAAAAAAAAAAAAAACATACTGAGATTGAACAAAGCTACTTAGATTGAGGTCACACAGCTCTGGTGATTGTATGAGTCACACTCAGGGGATTATACTAGAAACAAAATATAGCATTGGAAAATTTACTGTCAGATATATTCCAGAGTCACACCAGGGGCTCAAGCATACCATACAGATTACTCGAATAATTGTAAAATGATGCTTTCGGAGTTTGTTTTGAAATTGAAAAAAAGCCCCCTCAGAAAAAGACAACTAACCTTTCTGTGGTGTTCCTGTTTAGAAATTAATGGAAGCACGTATTCCACAGACCCACAAAGCTTTGTGTTGGTTTATATGTAAAAAAACAACAACAACAACAACATATTCACTTGATTACCACTGGGTTGCCTATTGGTTCATCAGTCGCTTTTCTATATTTTTGATTGTGGTCTGTTCTATGTAAATCAAGGCATAAGGCCATATGCAGATATTTTTGGTGTGTGTGCGCGTATGCGTGTATGTACATGGTGTGTGCAGATGCAAATGTTCTTCGTAGATCTCAGACTGTGATTGAACCCTGCACAAAAAATGAGTCCTTTTTATATAATCTGGAGTGTTTTGTGTGTGTTTGTGTGTATGAGGGAGAGAAAGATATATGTACATATGACTCATGAGCAGGTGTATGTACAGTAATAAACTACAAATAAACAAGGCTATGGGCATCCTCCAAGTAACTCACTGTGTGTTTTTCCCCACTTGTTGACATAAAGTCATAGGAGTCTTAATGCTTTCCCCCTATCCTCGGGTGGTGCCCCAATTTAAATTTCTACGTCTTTGCATAGCACTGCTGGGTTAGATTGGTATACAGTATGTGAACATCTACATTAACCTTTTTCCCTTAATTTTGAAATAATTTGTCCTTGAAAACTCAACTCGGCAACCCTAGTTCTACTGATACCCATATATCCAGGAGATGACACAACCTAAAAAGTACATAGCCTAACACAGGAGGGTCAAGGTCTTGGGTCAAAATGTCTAAACTGGAAGAACAAGGGTCACTAATTCATGAGATATCAATGTACACAGTTTAGTAGTGAAGACATGGTCAATAGGGGCGAAGAAGGCCATATATATTCAATTGGAACAATCATCTCAAACATAGAAGGGAGGCTGCAACATCTGATACATCTTCAATTAAAAAAAATTTAAAATTTAAACACATTTTATTTTGTTTTTTTAATTCAGTGCACCTGATTCCTGGAATCAAATACAGCAATTTGTTACAGTATTGTTTTAATTCCTCTATAAAAATTAATCACATACCTTTAGGTCTCTTTTACGCAACTGTACTTATTACCATATACATACATATATTTATTTATTTGTTGTTGTCATTTTATACTCTCTGCTTTTGTAAACTGATTTGTCATTGTAAATAAGGGTTTACCCCTCAACGATCTGAGTATTGTGTATAAAAAAATAAATGAATGAATAAATTACCACCCTAACATCCTTTTACCAGGTGATTAATTCATGTGGCTTTGACGTGTGATTGCCTCAGGGTTGGCCCTATTCTTTTCTTTCTTGTTGCCTGTTTTCCTTTTGCTCCAAGAAGTGAGGGGTGGAGCCGTGACTTTGTCAGTGATACAACACACCTGAGCAGGTTGGGCCTCAGCAGGCTATAAATCTGACCTGCAAGCATTTTCAGTCTTTTCCCTCTGGCCTGTCTGAGCTTGTCATTTCTTGTACTTTGACATTGCAGACATACTGACCTGAAGAAGAAGAACCAGAAGAAAAATTCTATTTTGTTGATTTACTTTATTTACTTAATTAAACACTGAGCATAATTTTTAGACTATTTGTGGTCCCCCTCTTTTGTTGTACTTTTGAGCCAAGTTGTGACGAAATGGGGGCTCGTCCAGGATATGAACCCAGGATATCTCACAACACAAGCGAGAATCATACCTCTCAAACCCAGAGGAGAAGTCAAGGGATTACCAGAGTTAGTAAGATTGATCCTCCAGGGACTGTGAAGATCTGTACAAAATTTCATGACAATTCATCTGATAGTTGTTTCAGTGTGGCCCAAAGTGGTTGACAGAGACAGAGAAAGTGTGAATTCATCTCATTCATTTCCTAGATAAGGTTGAGTGGCATGAACTAGTGAATGCATATTCATGTAGATCTAACACTTCTGCGTAGTTACCACATTTAATAGCTGCAGCTTCCTTTCTCAGACTCTAAAACTGCTTTAGTTTAGTACTGAGTAGTAGGTCAGTCAGTCTGTCGACCACTTTGGTCCACATAGCAGCAGCTATTAAAGGTACAAAACACTGCAGGTATATTCTGGGTTCAGTCTAGGCTGCCAAAAGTTAAGACATTCTACCAGCTTTTTAAACTCTTCCAGCTCAGCATCAGTCACAGAACTTCTCTTACCTGAGAGACAAGAAAAATACAGAAATATACGGTATCCTGTGCTGAAACATTAAATACAGAATTTTACAGTACAGCATTTTATACAAAAGTTTTTTGATGTCCCACATTTAAATCTAACACCACTTACCTGAAGACGGAGTTATGTGTGGCATTCAAATAACAAAAGAACTCCTCCTATGAAGCATTCATGACAGTTCAGCAGTTATGATTGCTTGATAATGTAGTATAACATATAATCATATGTCTTCAGTAGTTTAAAATATACTAAAACCTGTGAATGATTTACACTTGTATAAACAGACAATCAATGTATTTTGTCTTTAATTATTCATTTTATGTAAAGCACTGTGAAACATATACAAATAAACATTATCATTATCTTACTCAGCAGCAGAAGGGTACTGAATGTCCCTTTCAGACGTCTGGCCTTGTGATTAAAGCAGCAGACAGTCAGAACAGCCAGTTTTCAGCAGGTGAAATGCAGAAAACTGCAGAACAACTCCTAGGAAGTGCACACACACACACACACACACACACACACACACACAAACG